TAGCAACTTCCACATTTACAGCTCAGGGGTGTTGATGACATTTTTCATGTCATGCCACCATTTTTGTTATCCTTTTCCAAAATAGTCCACCGCCGTTAGCATAAACTCAGTGCCCCACAAACAAAAGCTTCCCTTTTCCCCCTCACTCCTACTCCTGTGCTCCTGATAACCACTAATAGTCTCTGGTTTATATATTTGTTGTTACGTGCCGTTGAGTCATTGCCAACTCATGGCAACCTCCTGTACAGCAGAATGAAACACTGCTCAGTCCTGTGTCAGCTCCATGATCCTTGCTAGACCTGAGCCCATCATTGTAGCCACTATGTCAGTCCATCCTGTTGAGGGCCTTCCCGTTTTTCGTTGACCCTCCACTTTACCAAGCATGATATCCTTCTCCAGGGAGTGGTCTCTTCTGACAACATGGCCAAAGTAGGTGAGACAGAGTCTGTCCATTCTCACTTCCAAGGAGCCTTGTGGCTGCACTTCTTCTTTTTTTTTTTAATGTGATTTGAGTGAAAGTTTACAGAGTAAATTCACCTTCCATACAGCAGTTCACATACACTTTGTCTCATGATATTGACTGCAGTTTCCCACAGAGCAACAGCTCTCTTTCCCACTTCCTCCCCATAGTTACCTCTTCCCTGTGTCCTTCCCTCCCATGCACTCCTGCCCCCTGAGCTGTCTCGCTGTGCATACATAGCCCTTCTATTCTCCCATGATTGATCTCTCCAAGGAGTGTATCTACCTTATGTAAATGATCAGCTCCTATACCTATCTTTTGTTTGGCTGGAAGCCACAGGAGTGGATTCAATTCCAGACCTAAAGGGCAGCTAGGGACCATGGTCTCAGGGGTTCCACCAGATTCTATCCGATTAGCACACCCGGTCCCTGTTTATTTTATGATTTTGAGTTTTGTTCCACGTTATTCTCCCACTCTATCCAGGATCTCCTACATAGATACCCCTCTAAATGGTTGACAATGGTAGCTGGGTACCACCTAGTTCTTCTGGTCTCATAGTCATATAGGCTGAGGATAGCATGATGTACCACTCCCTTGGACTAATTGTTTCCATGCATCTTTGGTTTTCTTCATTCTTCTTTGCTCTGGATGAGGAGAGACCTGCCATTGCATCTAGATGGGCACTCCCAAGCTTTTAAGATCCCAGTCTCTACTCACCAAAGTAGGATGTGGAGCAGTGTTTTTGTGTAGTTTCTTATGCCAGTTGAACTTGATGTCCCCTGCAACCATGATCTTGAGCCCACAGGTCCAACTACTTGCTCCTTCTGGGTGGCTGGCTGTGGCCAGGAAGTGACTACAGTCTTGTCCCTTGTCAGCTCTAGAAGCAGACATTTTTTAAGCTTTTGTAGCATGGTGCCTAAGGCGTTTGACTGCTAACCAAAAGGCTGGTGGTTCAAACCCACCAGCTACTCCTTAGAGGGAAGATTGGGTGATCTACTTCCGTCGTGATACCACCT